GTCATTAGGAAACATAGGATCATATTCATCAGCTAAAGGAATGAGAACTTCTCCTGCAGAAAACCCACTGGGAACAGGGTCCTTCAGGCCTGCTGCAACATGTGGTGGTGTGTCCACAATCTGCCGGTCATCTGCAGAGCCACCTCGTTTCAAGTCAATGACAGGAGCAAGGACGGTACTTTGTTTTGTCCTTTGGCTCTTTGCCTGAGTGAGCGCTGCCTTCTTCACCTGAAGCTGAGACTGCAGAAGCTTGAAGTTTTTGGACCAGCCTTCTGTTTTTGAATCACTGGTTTCCACTCCCAGATCATCGTATAGGGACATCTTTTTGGATTAACGCCGGCCCACTGGGCCGACTCTGCCCATGGGCCAGGGCGGCGGTAGCGCGGAGCCGGCCGCACTCCGCTGAAAGCCCAGGACCACGGGAGTCAGCGGTGGCGCCCACGCTCCGCCGGGTCTGCAGGGCGCTCCGCAGGCGCAGGGTAAGCGAGCGCGGGCCACCTCATAAACTGTTTCAAGCTGGGGTTTTCAGACCACTACTCCTTGTAACAGGTTATAGTTTATACATAAATGTATTACTCTAATGCCAGAGGAACCTATAGGGCCTAAACCAGTGAAATGCCAGATTAGGCCTCTGATTTTGTTTTTCTCTGCAACTTTCTGCCAAGATTACAGGTTAGAGCCTTAATCACCTCCACATTCCTGGGGAATGTGTCCTGTCTTCACTCTCCCAATATCTGGCCCAATGCCCTAACCACATTAATCTGCACAAGTATTTATGAAAAGACATCTGTATCACTTACAAATAAGTCTAATATCAAGAGCCAAGAGTAAGGGATTGGGATATAGCTCTGTGGCAGGTACTTGACCTGCCAGAAAAGCTCAAGGTCCTGAGTTCAATTCCTAGTACATTAAAAAGGAAAAAAAACCAACCAACCAACCAAACAAACAAACAAACCCCCCGAGTACCCAAAAAGCAGTACAGACTCACATCACATCCTATCCTAACCTCTACAAATCAACAGCATGCGAGATAGATCTGATCTCACTACATCCCTATGAACAGCATGATCTGAACTGATGGAGGCACTAATAAGTTCATCTATGTGACTGTTAGAATCCCTTTTATGAGTAGCTTTTTCCATAGATCTCCCTAGCATCTACCCATAACACCAATGCTTTAAGAGCACAGACTCAGGAAAGAGTCAGGGTATTTTCCGAATCAGCCCCTGCTCCACGATGGTCCAGCCACTCTAGAAGATATCTGTATCATTTAATCTGACAAAAATACATAGTAGTCTTAGAAACAAGAAAAACCAGCCAGTTTAACTGGTGATTTTCTGTTTACTTGTATCTCTTTATCTCATCATTTTCAGAAAGAGATGTTTATTTATCTCAAAAAAAAAAAAAAAAAGTACTTGCTTAAGATTAACTGAACTCAGGCCAGGGTATATAGCTTAGTGACACAAGTGCCTGCCAGGCAAGCGCAAGATCTCAAGTTCAATTCCTGGTACTAAAAACAAAAAATTAACTGAATACTCATTAATTAATCAGTGCTAGTAACTCAAAACTGGGTAATAAAAATTAATTCCCACAAAGTTGCCCATTAAGTATCCAGGATGGCAAATTATACTTACTCTTCCAGGAACCAAGGGAATGGTAGCTTCAGCCTTGGTTCTCTCGGCTTCATCATAACTGGGCAGTGTGGTAGCCACATTGTAAGAGGGAGGCTTTGGAAACCCAGACTCATCTTTGTAGTCAAAATATGCTGAAGAAATAAAGGAAGTCACAATATCTGATGATTAAGTAGCTTAACTAAAGGAGTACAAGAATTTCCACAAATTGAAGCAAACTACACCCAGGCATTTCCCTAAGAGTACATGTAGAATAACTGAACCAAATGGTATTTTTGTTAAATATAAAAACCTGGGGGTGGGGGCTGGTGAGATGGCTCAGTGGTCTAAAGCACCTACTTAGAACAAGCTTAGCAAAGCACAGGGACTTTGGTTCAATCCCCCAGCACCACATGCCAGCCAGCCCCGCCCCCTGGTGGGCTGAGCTGGCCACACACAAAAATAATAAATAAAAAAATTTTTTTAAAAAAATAAGTGCTTAAAAACCTGGGGGTGATTTCTGAAATTTATCCACTTGCCAGTGACTTAAAGGCCAGACTCACTTTGTAGTCTTACTTCTAACTGCTTTTGAAAAGCTACTTCAGACCACCTTGTGGGTTCTCAAAAGGCATTTATTTAATTTTAATAGAGGAATAAAGAAAACATTTAATGTTTTAAATGTGTGTATAAATCTGTATTCTGATTTCTTTCTATCATTAAACAGGAAAATTAACTTCAGGGGGAAAAAAGCTAAAATTAATTTCTTACAGGTTTGTTTTGGCACTGACTTTTACATTATTTCTTATCACATACAGTTCTTTCTGACACAATGCAGTTGTAGAACAATTATTTATATTTATGAAATCCTTCATTCTTTTTACAGTGCATATACATTTTCATGAACAATTCAGTATAATCAGCAAAAATGCATTTTAAGTGGATTAAATGCCTATATGTTTTTTAAATTTAAATTTTTGAAAAATTCCTATAGTTCATTAACATTGATTTTTTTAAACACTGATTTTTTTTTTTTAAGAATGTTTTTTAATTTTTTTTTTTTTTTTTTTTTTATTCATTTGTGTGTGTGTGTGCGTGGCCAGCTCAGCCCACCAGGGGGCGGGGCTGGCTGGCATGTGGTGCTGGGGGATTGAACTGTGGTCCCTGTGCTTTGCTGAGCTTGTTCTAAGTAGGTGCTTTAGACCACTGAGCCATCTCACCAGCCCCTTTTAGAATGTTTAAAATATTTATTACTTATTTTCTATGGAGCCACCCTAAAAGGTACAGATCCAACACAGAGAGAGCTTTCAATCTAGTACAAAAAAGGAAAAATAGGGCAAAATGATCACTTTCTAGAAAGCACTTCTTAATAGATGTAACCAGTGAGTTGTTGGGGGCATTTTCATATACAATAATAACATTACTCCCTATATTTTTTACTTAGGTAAATAGAAATAAGTACACATCTCTAAAATTCCAGAAGTCAGTTGCTAAGACAGTACATTTTAGGGTGTATTTTAAACATTGATGTAGATGTCAAACATTTTTTTGCGAGGGTGTACCAGGAATCAAACTCGGGACCTTGAGCTTGCCAGGAAAGCACTGTGCCACTGAGCTATATCCCTGGCTCTTCAAACATTGTTTTGTTTTTTTGTTTTGTTTTGTTTTGTTTAATGTTTTAGCAGTATACAGTAATTTGACTGACAAGTAAATTCTACCCAAAGGGGGAAGTAGTGATAAGGCAGTTGATACCATAAACCCTTATCTTGTCAGTTTACTATCTAAGAAACATGTTCAGTACT